GTACACTTTAATGATGATTTCCTCATCTGTGTCACAGTCATAGCAGAGTGTAAACATTTATTATCAAACACGACCCATTTAGGAGGAAAATACATTGGTTTAGTATGGTTTCATTCTGTGCAGAGTTGCTTTTACACCAAGGGCAGAGGGAGCTGTGCAGGCACTGAGACTCAGAGCATCAAATCCTGCAGCAATGTTTAGTTGAAACTGTCCCTGTTTTTTGAAACTGAAGATGAGCTATCTAGTTAAACTTTCTAATACCACAAGACTTAGCAGCACATCTAGGAGCAAAAATAACACCATCCCAACCCCTCAGTGTTACAAGAGTGAGAGGGAAGGTCAGTTGGGATGAGCTGTCAGGAGCAGTGTTGATACAGCAACAAGAGTTCTTGGTTAAAATTTAAGAAAATAGCGTCTGATTTCATTGTTGTGCCCAAATCCAGACTGTTCACTGGAGCTAATGGGATGTTGACTGCCTGTGACAGGATCTCAAACGCTGCCATTAATCTACGGCTCTAAATACCTTTCATCCTGTTTCTCCATTCTTGCATCCCTTCCAGCCTCCTTTTCCAAGAGTTTCCTCAGCCAGTTTCAGTATGGGAATGGCCAGTGAAGTACTGGTGTCATTTCTCAGAAAAAGAGAGAAAAATAAACACTGGAATGATCCTTGAATTTCTTCAGTTGCAGGAACAATCAGGCCATGAAGTAATATAGCAGCATAATTCTTCTGGGCATCCTTGAAACTCTCAATGATACATTTAATTTGGAACCATTAAAGTGCCATTACATGCTAAACACTTTCTGGTACCTCAAAGCACAGAGGATTGTGCATTAGGACTTAACAATCATCTTATGCAATAGGTAATTATCTTCCGAGTATTTTGATTTTTAATCTGAAATCAGTTCCCACAATGACATTTCTTTCACTGCCCCAATAATAACTGTCTGCTAAACTTAGAAAGAATTATACATCTCGGGCATAAGCATTGCTACCCTGTATTGCTAACCACTACTGCACAGTCAGACACTGTCAGAAGGAAGCTTAAACCAGCCATACTGACCTTTAGCTGTCATCCTGTCTCATATGTATCTATCCTGTGGTCACCAAAGTGCTGTACATACTCTGAGCTAGAAGTCAGGTTGAGCCATTTGTCCATGAGGAGACATAAAAAGTCTCAGGGATCCCTGAGTGAGCTGCTTACACCAGGGATCTGCAGCCCGTGACTTAGCTGGTGTGAAGGGTGGTGGAGTTTTGTGCCAGTCTCAATAGTGATATAGGGGTAAGGAGTGTTTTGCCCAATTCACCACAAGTGCTGCAATGATTTTACTATCATTTTTTATTTCTCTTGTATCACCTAACCTATCATTAGCCACCCACTGAGATCTGACATCAAAGAATTGTCTTCACATATAAATATACTTTCTGAAATCCTTCTTTTTATTGCTTTAAAACAGAGCTCACATTTCCTGGTGTGTGTATCGCTAAAAATAAGCAATCTAGGAGTAAATGAGAACAGCTTAGAAATCAAAGGAGCTTTTAGATTGAGTCATAGAATCATAAGGTGTTTTGGGTTGGAAGGGACCTTAAAGATCACCTTATTCCAACCCCCTGCCATGGGCAAGAGTCAACTGACCCAGTCCCAAGTGGCTGGAGGAGGATGGGAAGTCTCAGTCACGCACTGCTGCCGTCAGCTCACGCTGCAGCCAGAGCTGTGGAAGCTGTTCCCATCACTTGGAATTATTAGGATGTGAATTCACAAGTGCATAGCAAATTTTATTAGATTTGTCTTTGTGCATGTCCTCTCCCTGTGAAAACCATCAATGCACAATTCTGTGACAGAATGTCAGCACAGATACGTTGGAGAAGAGCAAATGTAACGGTGCCGGTGCGGAAGATATTATTTCATCCCAAAGAAAATTACACATCTTCATTCCAGCTGACAACCTAAACAATGCCATGCTTGAAACATAAATGATACACTGTTTAGCTGGAAAAGCCATTAGGCATGTGATGGAGAGTGGAAGTGAGCTAACTGCCTTCCCAGAACAAATAGCACTTTGCATTTTACATAAGCAAGTTGACAGGTTTTTAAAAATTTACTTCCAGATTTTGCTTTTTGAATAGAAAAAAACTATTCAATAGCAAGAATGGAGACTGACATCTCTCCACACCATGCAGCTTGCTCTTCTCCCCACTGGTACACCTCCCAAGTAGGAAGCATGCTAATAGATCTGCCCAAGAAATGGCATTTCCAGCCTGAGAAGTCATCAGTATTCCAGCACTTCTCTCTGCTTGTCCAGCTTTTAGCTGAATCTTTTTTGCTCCTAATCCTTTGATAAAGTTATGAGAGCATTTAGAAAAAACTTTGGAAAATCAATGTTACATTCTGCCTTTTATCAGGGATGCAATAAAGCAATTACAGAATACAGCAGACAAGGCCACTCGCATGTTGCTCTCGTATTGATCCTCTTCTGCTGCCTTTTAATTTTAAATTAGATAGATAGTCATAGAAAATAGATTTGGAAGGACTTTCAACAGGTCTTCCAGTCCATCCTTTGCCCTAAGGCAAAATCAACTCATATCAATTCTGGCAGGTATTTGTCTCATCACTGTGAGTGGTTTTAAAACCCTGCAGTGATGGCAATTCCATGTGCTCCATAGACCACTTGTTCCTTAAAAATAGAAATTGTTACCTAATGTCTACAATGTAAGGCTATTATTTTCTGTCCCCTAGAAAGTGTATGCAGAGAGAATTACTACATGAAGGAGAACAGTGAGGGTCAAAGCAGGGTGGTAGGGAAGTGTCAGACTGTCCACCCACCTAGGCTCTCTGATACCATAACAGAGACAAACTGGTGTAAAAGGCACTTGGGGGAGGACTAAAACTCCAGTTCCTCTGAAGAACTCCACAGCTTCATTCCTTACCCTCTCAGAGCTCCCTGGAGTGGGCAGCAGCAGGTTTAGGGGTGCAAGGGGGATCAGGCACAGCACAGTGTCCTGCTTTGCACTGCAAAGCTGGAAAAAGTTGTATTCAACAGCAGATTGGGGAACAAAGAGTTTACTAATGTTACTAAAGCAGAGGATGATAGTTCAAGTGTCTGACATACTGAACTGTCTCATATTAAATTTCTCTCCCATTGAAAGCAATTTCAAGTAAGAAACAAGTGGGTACGAGGTGGAACTTGTTTGCGTGTTTTTAATGCCAATATTTCTCCCAGAAAGCCAAGGAACTGAAGGTGATCTGTCTGATTTCAAGTAGGCTGTAGCTACTGTACATTAAAATATTCATATTTTCCACTAATTGCTGTGTGGGAGTTGTTCACAGACTGAAAGAACCTTTTGTATTTTCCATTGTACATACCAGCTCCAAGACATTGCTCCATAATATTATTTTACTCCTCTGTCACTGGTACAGGTTAGTATTTCACTATACTGGCAATCGTCAAAGAATCTTTACTTGAATGATACAGAGAAGGGCATTCAAAACTGAAAGTAGGATTCAGGTGAGCAGGCAAGTTACCAAGTCAAACACATTTGCTGAAAGAAAGCCCCTCCTTAGTAGGAGAGGAAAGTTAACTCTCTCTTGTGATGTTATGAAATGGAGTTACCTCCTGCTGTAGTCACAGCAAAGTGATACTAAAAGGGCAAACTTAATTCTCACCCTCAAAGATGGTAGTATTTTATCTGCTATTGTTCTGTTTGGCTTTTTATTTCATAGAATCAGCCAGGTTGGAAAAGACCTCCAAGATCATCAAGTCCAACCCTACTGTGGTTACTAGACGATGGCACTAAGTGCCACATCCAGTCTCATCTTGAAAACCTCCAGGGATGGCGAATCCACCACCTCCCTGGGCAGCCCATTCCAATGCTTGATTACTCTTTCCTTCAAAAATCTCTTCCTAAAGGCCAAAGTCTGCTCTTCAGAAGTCCGGGGTCAAGTTTTATTGATGGCCCTTCTTGCATCCCTGAGTATTGAAAACTATAATTTAATGGTCGCTGTGTCCCAAAGAGCCTCCAGCCACCACATCTCCCATCAGCCCTTCTCAGTTTGTGAACAGCAGGTCTAGCAGGGCCCCAGCCCTAGTAGGGTTATCTACCAGCTGAAGTAGAAAATTATCCTCTATGCACTCGAGGAACCACTTAGACTGCCTTTTCTCTGCTGTATTAAATTTCCAGCAGACATCCAGCAGGTTAAAGTCACCCACAAGAACAAGGGCTGGTGATTTTGAGACATCTGCCAGCTGCATGTAGAGTAAATCGTCACCCTCATCATCTTGATTGGGTGGTTTGGTTTTTTTTTTTTTCAGGAGAGATAATCTGAAACCTCTATCATACACATGGATACCCATTAGAAGTGGGAATTTCAGTTTTTATTGCTTCCATGTTCCATTTGAAGGTACTGGGCAACATTTTCAAACCTTTAGACATGCATGTACATCTCTTTAGAGGTCTAAGTTCAAATCAGCAGTGCCAGCACATGTGAAAATAAAAACATACAACTGAAAGGAACATCTTGGAGAGATGAATCCAATGGCTTAATGTACAACTTGATCAAAGTCCATTTCAGTAAAAGTAAAGAGAGATACTGGTTGAGGAACCAAGACATCCATGCCTGAGACAGTCAGCAACAGGCTCAAAAATACCACTTGTAACTCAATACTATTAGTATTAGGTTCTGAGGATAAGTATCAGATGCAGAAGGTAACAGAGGGGTGGCAGGAAGGTGAAAAGGGAAAAAAAAAAGATGAACTATGAGAAGGACTAATGATGCAGAACAGAGTGTTCCCAGTCTCTGTTTAACATGAGGACTAATCTGGAAATCACAGGGCCACCAAGTCCTTGTGTGGTCAGTACTGCCACTCCACCAAAGCCTAGAGTTGAGGCACGGGATATTTTATGTCTATAATTGTGCATTAGAAGTAATTACTTAGAAAAATGTTTGTTTCTACATGCCACAAAAGAGAACCCCCAATGGATAATCAGAAGAAAACAAATGGTATCAGTGTAAAATTCCTGCTTTCTGTGGATAGTGCAGCCCTGTATCCATGGGTAGGATTCTTCGGGAACAAGGATGTTTGGTCTCATCATCTTCTGGAGATACAGCACTGGGGTTGTAATGGACTTCAGCTACAGGAAAAAATTGGGAAAAAAATCCATTATAATAATTTGGTTCGATGTATTTAGGAAGAACCTGTCTATGCAGAACTCACTGTTTCCATGTCTTTGGGGAAGTCACATTTCCAAAAATAACCAGGGATGTTTGGTGCTATTCCTTTTTCAGAACATGGGTCTGCAACAACTTCACTGACTTGGAAGGCTAAACCTTCTGCTGGGATTCTTCTGGATTAAAAATGCTCACAGCAGGTCCTGTTCAGCTTTCTGTAATCCCCCAAAACTTTGCTCTTTTGGGAATGCAGTTCCAGCTAGGGAGCACCATAGTATATCTCAAGACTGCAGTGCTCCCCACCTGGAAGTAGGTCCTATGTGAGTGACATCCTGCAGGCCCAGGCTGGAATATCTTTTAGGTGCCTAAGGTGGAAGCAGAGAGTTCTCTTCCTTTTGGAGAAGAGCCATCCCAGGATTTTAAGGGCTTTCTTACTCTCCTTAGTACAGCAAAAGTCATCTGTAACATAGCCATTAACCCCAAACCAAAGCCTGGCACAGACAAAGCAGTGAAAGGTTTCCTATTTATTTCCATTGGAAATAAATTTGGTTGGGATTTGACAGTTTCATATGGAACTGTTGCATTCTAGTCTATGCATTGCACACTGCTTTTCTTACCAATCCTAAAATTCGTATCTGGAGAAGTCCTGGGAAGGAAATCTGAACCATTGAAAGTTGAACTTGTTCCAATAGAATTTAGGCTCCGCAAAGCCTGAGGTGGTGATTTGTGGTTTAAATGCTTTGGTGTAGATCCAGCAGTTGCACCTGACCCACTCCAGTCTGAAATCAGAGAGTGGAAGGCACAGGAATAAAATTCTGTACAGGTGTCACATCTCAAACTACTAGAGACCAGGGAGGAGAAAGGTCTGTGCTTGCTTCCTGTGCCATCCTTGTCCCTGCCCTGAAGCTGTGGGTCTCTCTGCTGCACAATGCACAGTTCCTGGTGTTAATTTTTATACTAATTCCATCACACTTGTGCAGGTGGGGCTGGATACCAGCAATTCAGACTTCTATTTCCCCTTTAAGGACCCAGTCCAGTAACACTAGCTTGATAGGTCACCCTGAAGAAGGCAGGAGGTACACAAAGGAGAGGAATGGCAGCTTCAACCTTATTGTGCCACACAATGCTGACGTGGCTCCTGCTCGAGGGAGAACACTCTGTGTGCTGAGAATATTCATGCTGAATTCCACCTCTGCAAATGGCAAGCTGCATATTCCTCAGCAGCACATGATGCACAGGATGCTGTGCACAGGACATAAGTGTTAACACAGGATTTTTAGCTTGGTTTCCTGAAAACCAGCTGATTAAGCTTCTCCTTTGTTAAACCCATTCATAACATCAACTCATTTTGACAGACACACAGAGTTATAAAATTCTTCCACAATTCTGTGAAAAATCAGCATCACTGGAGGAGCCCAGAGTAAGCCACAGCACATGTTATTTCTTGCTGAGCTGGCAGATAGAGGAATCTTAGAATAATGTAGATTGGAAGAGACCTTTGGAGGACTTCACTCCAGCCTCCTGCCCAGAGTTGGATCAGCTTGGTCCAGTATCCTTCCAGCTGCATTTTGGCTCTCCAAGGAGAGAGACTCTCTCCACCATCTCTCTGGACCACTGTCACCTGTTTAACTAACCTCATTGTGAAAAGATGTCTTTTCTTATAAATAAAGTGAATTTCCATCACTGTGGCTTGTGTCCATTGCCCCTTGTCCTCTTGCTGTTCACCTCTGAGAGGAGTCTGCCTCTTTTCTATAACCAGCACTGACAGCCAAAGGCAGCAAGACATCTCCCCTCTCCTTTCCAGACACAGCATTCCCAGCTCCTGAGCACAAAGAATAGCTACTAGTATGCCCAATATTCTGCATAAATTTCAGAATCTCAGCTTAATGAAGACTGGAAAGCCACCAAGAACATGGCTCACATAAGGGAACACGGAATGGCATGTGAGAACAGAATTCGAGACCAAGCTGAAATCGTTTTTGGAAATCTGCAGTTTTTACTGCATGTTGTCACCCTGTCATCGTGTTGTATAGGAGTTAATCGGAGAGGATAAAGTCCTATTAAAGAACAATTACCCAATGCACCACAGAAAGGCTATTGAGGGGAGCCTTATTTCTTAATGTAGAACAAATGTGACACCACTAGCAGATGAAGACTTATGAGTCAAGCTAAACAAATCCCCTCAGTGCTTACCAGAATAATTACTCAGACGAAATCTCCCCCAGCAGAAATGTACTCGACACTGCTTCACTACATCATCCTTCATTAGGCAGTGAAACACAAAGATAAAGAACCCTGAAGAAGGAAGAAGAGACATGAATGGGTTTTCAGGTAGATTCTCCAACCTCCTGTCCCTTTTCTAAACTTTTGGCATAGCACTTTACCAACACGTGATGTATGGGCAGAGAGGTGGTCCCTGGGCCAGCATCAGCAACTCTAAGGTCCCTTCCAAAACAAACCATCCTATGATTTCATAATCATGTTGGCTCAGATTTGCACTGAGTCCTTTGTGCATATCACAGGGTGATAGGAAGAGGTTTCTGCAGATTTGGTGTAAGAATAATCTGCAGGTCCCTGTGGACTCTATCAAACATTTTTATGCCCAGATGAGAAGGATGGTGCCAACTCCCAGAAAGGTGTGTTTATTGGGAAACATGTTTGAAAGGCATGACTTCATGTCTTTAATAGTCTTATCTATCACAGCAATGCTCTCTAAACAACAGTGTCATCTCACTGCAATGGAGTATTCCTTTTGAAATAGCTGAACACTGTAATGCAAAAGCTGTATCAGCTCTCCTCTTCCCCCATGCTTCAATTCCATGATGTTACAGATCTATTTCTGGTCCTAAACTTTTGCATTTATAGCATCACTCCATTCACAAATTACCTTGCAAGGTGTTAAAAATGCTGAAGAGATACAAGAAAAATATCCTCACTGCTCCCCAGGCAAAAAAGGCAAAACCCCAAGTTAAGCCCAAAAGGAACATCAAGCTGAAAGCACTTTTGAGGTCTTGGAGAACACTCTGTTTCCACGATCTGGATCTCTTTTGTGCCCTTGATTTCACTGAGTGGATTTGAAGGAGAACAGTGATGCACATGGCTGTATTTGTCAAAAATATTAAGATGAAATAGGCCACAACGGAGATGTAGAACACTGTGTTGTCCTGAATCCAGCAACTGCAAGAAAGGGAGGTGTGTATTCAATGAGGAGTTTGTAAAACTCTTTCAGCCTGGTTTCCAACACAAGTATTCTGTGTAAGGGACATTCCCTAACACCCATTGTTTTCTTCCAATGAGGACATTGATAGGATCTCTCCACTTGCCTTTTTTTTATGGATGTTATGGAAATTTGAGACATTAATATTTCTGCCAAATTCAGATAAACCTAACAATTGTTTCTTGACTTATTACTGTATACACACAATGACACAATACCTTAGGAAAACAAAGTTAAATACAACTGAATTAGGAGTCTAAATGATAGTATGCCACTGGTTAGCTCTTCCTTAAACATAAATTAGTGAATTTTACTGTCTTTTTGCTAAAGACGGGTAGCAATTTTCCATCTGAGGTGTCAAGGGGGGGTGTTGCCTCTCTGATGGGATAGAATTAAAATATTCCAGGTAATCTTCACCAGAAGGTGAAACAGAAATCGGGTGAAAAAACCCAAAGCATTCCTTGCTATAAAACCACATTTTAAAAGGATGAAAGAATGCAGTGTTTTCCCACTGGAGAAGTGAGGAGGCTGAAATGATTTAAATAAAAGAATTTGAAATTCTGATGAGACAGTGATGTGAATTGACATTAAAAAACAGAAGTGCAAAATACTGGAGCAATTATTGTGCCTTTAGATTTTACAAGAAACCCAGAGTATTCAGGAGCATATACAAATGTCCCATCAGACTGAGTTAATGTGATGTAAAGAAAGAGATTTCACAGAGAATAAAAACGGAGTTTACTGGCAGAAACTCTCCCTGTCCTCAAGCCCATGTCACTGATGTGAGAGCTACTCCATGTAGTGGCCATGCAAAAAATCCAATGAACCAGAACCACTACAAGGACAGGGTAAAGATGCAGGAGGAAAGACAAAAGTGCGAGAGAAGTTGTTGCCTGATGGTTATATCTGGTATCTTTCAGATACTCTGGTGACCATCAAAAAGCTTAAGGTGCCATACTTACAAACTGCTGTAAGGACTGTTCACAGAGTATGATCCATTGCCGTAGAAGTCTTTATTTATAATGAGCACAAGGGTAATTACAATAGCTGGTATTCCTAATGTGGAAGGCAAGGGAGAGAGAAATATTTCAATTAAAAAATGGAGAATATGTAGAGATGTCAGATAATCTCTGGTGAGTAATTGCAGCAGACATGTGCATTTTAGGATCAAACTCTACCCCTGAAGCTCCTTCAGAAAGGAGTGCAATTAAATGTGTGGCATTGCAGGTTTAATCTCCTTATTTATGTAAATTACAAATGAGTAGGCATAAAAATATCTGTGTTTGCAAAATGTTTGTGAGTGTTCTAACATCTCCAGAAGGGATCCAATCTGCTAAAAGAAAACCCACTGATGATTACAAAAGCTGAGTGTCAAAAGATAAGCAGACCACAGCATTTTGTGTTAAGAGCTTGTAGAGACAGACGTTTTCCAGGCAGTGTTTTACCAGTCTTTCCTTCCAATCGTTTCCCATTTCCCACATTTCTTTCAGTGCTGTTTTTTTGTGTTGAGCAGCTGCTGCCAACACGATCATGGATGGCTGACCCTGAGAACAGCTGTGTGTGGCATCAGATCTAAGGGTAGATATGATAAGACACTGCACACTATTCAGGAGCCAAACAAACCCTTTAAAACAGCATCTAATGGTGACCCAGATAATACAGCCCAAGTTCTGCTCTAGGTCAGTGCCTCTGATAACCCTTTTGTAACAGCTGAACCAGCATTTGGGTTCTTTTTGTTATGCTTCTCCCAAACAGGCCACTTGTCCAGGGAAGTCCTCGTGAGAGCAATGACTGAAAGCCAAATCCACCCTGTGTGTGGGAATCATGCATAGAATGACACACGGTCTGGTGAAGGAGTTAAAATCACCTCTGATCTCCCCAGTGCAGGGGTGAGGGCTGTGGGCAGCTCATACTTCCCCAGGCACACCCACTGACATAACGTACCATGATAAATCATCCTGTCAGAGCAGGGGGGCTAGAGAAAGCAGTTCCTTACACCCACTTTTGCATTTCAGTTGCACATGACTGTGCAGGGAGCAACAGGCACTTTCTGCTAATGTCTCCCTGGGCAGAAGAAATTTAAGCTGAACCTGTCTAGGAGAAGAAACCCATCCATACAGCTCAGGGTGTGCATCACATTTCTGCTAGCTCAGTGTCCTCACTTATTTAGCAAATATGTCCCAGTCTTAGAGAAGTTTGAAAAGCACTGAAGTGGAGAAGATACTTGCTTACCCCAGCCAGCAATGGAGCACTTTAGGATGTACTTTGGGACATAAACATTGAAAACTTTGACAAGGGCCAAGTAAAAGTGAACAGACTCCAAGAACATCCATGTGAAAGCTGCAAGAAGGAAATAGTGAAGGAGCATGGCCATGGTGATGCAGAGGCCTGGCTGGTTGAAAGAGGACAGCCAGGAATTGGTGAGGAAGACCATGTTCAGCATCAGCAGTGCAGCACAAAGGTTGAGCAGGATTTTGGAAGGGCTGTCTCTCCGCAGCTTCCTAAGAAGGAGGAGAAAGTCTACAAGGTTATTGCTGCATCATCCAATGTACAGGGAATATTCCAGACTCTTGACAAGGTCTGTTACCCATGTCTGTAGGTAAATTTATGAAATTACAGAAATTTTTACTCTTTACAGATGCTTCATCTTGAGAGTGGTGAGGCACTGGCACAGGTTGCCCAGAGAAGTTGTGGATACTCTGTCCCTGGAAGTGTTCAAGGCTGGGTTGGATGGGGCTTGGAGCAACCTGGTCTAGTGGAAGGTGTCCCTGCCCATGGTAGGGGCTTGGAACTAGATGAGCTTTAAGGTCCCTTCCAGCCCAAACCACTCTGTGATTCTATGATTCTATGAAATTTAGAAACATAGAAGTTGCTGAACAGTTCAAACTGGTGTTTGTATTGAAGCATGAGCATTCAAATCCCTCTAATTTAACCACAGTCAGGTCAAAATAAAGCATATTTATACTGTCAGCTCTCAGTCTTCCCTCCTATGTATCACAGCATCACATATCAGCAAACATTCCAATAGTTGCTCCAAATTCATTATTGCTAAAATATTAAAAGCAGTGTAAGAAAAAGGATCAGACTTACTCAAGGGTTAGATATGTCACCAGTGTTATTCCCAAAAAAAGGGAAGAAGCACCACATCCTGCATAGCTTATCAGAGTTAATACATGATCATGTGTGACATCTATTTCTGTCCGGGCCAAGTCCTGTGTTACAAGATAAAGAATCACAGTTGTTTGTCACAACCGATTAAGAAAATTCCTTTCCACATTTTCACATCAATAAAGACATCAATTCCAGTTCTGCTTGCTGCTACTCTGAGAGGGTTTCCATTAATATTTGTATGTGGTTTTTACTGTCTAGTCCTACAGGATATCCAAACTAGCAAAAATTTGCAGTATCTAAAGTATGCAGCGATAAGCTGTGAAGCTAGAAAAGCTGTCCTTCAGAAACCACAAATTCCAAGGGTCCCAGGATCTTGCCAGAATTATTCCTCTGGGAGCTCTCTTTGTAGGAGAAACTACTTTGCTTCAGTGGCAGCTGCCACACTTGGGAACTGCACAAACCTGCTGAGTGTCTTGGAGCGTGGGAGGATCCTCCCTGTCCAGAAAGCATCTCTGCAAAACTCAGCCTGGAGGCTGGGCCCTGCTTCTCCACAGCTGCTGCCAGGGGAAATACTGAGAAGATTCTGTCATTCCCTGTCACAGTTTCTTTTCTACTTGGTGAAGCTTTGAACCTCAGAGTGGCAACCTACACCTCTGATGTGCTGCGGACGATGTTGTTGAATACTTGTAGTTGTGCTAGTTACTGCTGATTTGGCATTGGAATGGGCTGCCCAGGGAGGTGGTGGATTCACCATTCCTGGAGGTTTTCAAGAGGAGGCTGGATGTGGCACTTAGTGCCATGGGCTAGTAATCATGGTAGGGTTGGACTTGATGATCTTGGAGGTTTTTTCCAATCTGGCTGATTCTATGACTCTGTGATTCTAAGGTGGCAGTGAGAGATGTGATCTTAAAATCACACAGAATTGTCCTTGGTTGAATAGGAAGTTGAATAAGTTGTCTCAAATCTGAACCATCTCAATTCCCTCCTGTAAAGCCACATTTTTACTCCCAGGGAGGACTTTTGCCTCTGCTGGAGCAGAGTAACGCTGACCTCTAGGGGCAGCTGGACAGGCATCCGAGGCAAAGGAGGGGCTTACCCCATCCTCTGGGCTGTGCTTTACTGGAATTAGGCAATTTTAATCTACTCAATTTGCTTAGAACTTGCCTATCACTTTGCATTTCTTGCAGCCCATTCTCACGGAGTCATCTCATCTTTTGGCATTCAACTTTTAGAGGCAGATTTCTCTGCATTACAGAGAAATAAGAGGTGATTGATAATGACATCTCCCATATTTATACTAAACTTCACTTTCTGATGCAGCACATATAAAACTTTTCCAAAGATGTAATGTCATTAGTTGCCACTGGCAGGTAATAAATTTAACACAGTATTTCCAATGCAGCGAATAACACATTAAGGCTGATTAAGTTACACTGCAAAGAAGTACAAACTACATCTGTAAAATGAATTTGCCTTGAAGCAAGTGACATTCAGAGGCCTTTATACCATTAAATCATCATAATTGTTTTGTTTGTTATTACTGATTTTGGCAAAATTGCAGATATCTAACAGCTTGTATAGCTATGAATCTCCCATCTCTCCCCAAAACTAGTGCTGACTTTGTTTAGTGCCACAGGACTTTCTGGGAGATGATTCACAGAGTACTTACCAGTAGGACTCCAAAATGGGTAAGATGGTTACAAAAACAGATTGTGTAATTCATATCTGTATATTCCATTTCACACCCCAACGTATTCCAACCACCCAGTCCATCTGTGTAATAGAGAAAAAGGGATTTTTAAGCAGAGTTAGTCATGCTCCATCATTTATAGCTCTGCAGCACTCAGGGTGTGTGAGGATGAGCTCAAGTTAGTACAGATTGCAGGGTCATTTAGCAGCACTCAAGTGAGATTTCACACAGGAACACATCTCCTGTAGTTGCCTGAGAACTTGGATGAAAGCCTTTGGTGGGATGAAGAAATATTTGAAGTCATTTACATGTCTGCACACATAGAAAGCAAGAAGGTAAAGAACACTGAGCTGAACTAGATTGTGCTGCAGGATGTGGAAACACAAAAGGAAAGAAATATGCACAGGGCAGAGGATTTGTTTGGGCAGAGGGTAGGAGTGAAAAAACCAGATCTTCCCGGGTAAAACTGAATTTTTGACCCTATTTGTGCATCATGTATGACACATTCAGCAACTGAATTCTGATTTAATCCACTGAAATTATTCTTTTCTGAAATAATTCTGATTCGTAACAAAAATTCTAACAAAAATTCTAATTGCAGAGAAAACCTCTCCCACATGCTCCAAGTTAACCTGATATACAGTTATCTCTCTGTCTGTTGACTGTCTGAGACATATCCCAGACCTGACCCCAGCAAAGTGCCCACTGACCTCCCTGGAGTAACTGTGAGAGTCATCTGCAGCACTGTGCAATGCCACCCATGCCTCCCTAGGGATAACACTCCTCACCGAGGCACCAACACCAACATGAACTCAACACCAACAGACTCAACAGGGAAGCCTCAGAGTTTCAAGCTGCAATGTCAAGGAGCCAAAGGCTGGTGGGAGCAGAGCGAGCACAGCAGCTTGGTAAATAACACTTACTGTTCTTCCCAAAGTCCCAAAAGACACAGTGCACTGCTGCATTCCCCTGGAAGCAGAGAAGAGGAGGCTGTGACATTTATTCAGCACGTCTGTATGCCGCCTGCACTTGCAGACGGTGCATCTTGCCTCTAATTGGGGTGTATAACTGAGGCAGTTGGATTTGATTTCCCCTGTACTCTCAACAGAAAACCCACTGGTGTCTGTGATTATCTGCATGGTGGAGCTGCTGCAGATCTGTGGGTCAGTGGAGATGCCACACAGTCAGGAGCAGCTGGACACTTGGGCATGGGGAGCCAGCTGGGATATTGGCCATGGATGTTCAGTGACATCCATGGCACTGAACCAGCAGAGTCCCAATTATTGCCTTCCCCTTTACCAGGGGAAATACTGGGAGTCAGTGATTTTCCCAGTTTTACCTATATCTTTCTGTACCTTGTAGTCTTTTAAGTACAAATTGTCCATCTTAGACTGATTCCTATGTCTAATCCCATTGGCTTCATGTGGTGTCTGAGATGCCACACCGAATTACTAGTGAAATTCAAAAGTTGTGACTAAGACTTGGAATAACAACCTGATGTCTTATACAAGAAAAAAAAAACCAGAAGAAACCTTTATTTCAGAATTTCAGCATTTCCTCTCTCTCCCTGAAACCAGGCAGGGAAGGTATGTAAGAGCTGAACAGATGCAAATGGATATTCAAGGCAATGTTTTCTCTTGGGGACGTTCTAGTTTATTACTCATAATGCTGCAGCAAAGTTTCCCAAGGCACAGATTCATTTACTTTTATTATTATGATATCATTAATAAAGTTTAACAAAGCACAGGGTTTACAGGAAGAAAGCCTAACAGATAAGCTGTTAAGATGTGTGATCTCTAGGCTGTCAAATACAATTAGGCAGAGAGCCAAAGATGTAGGTTTGAATGATAACTCATTAAATATTTAATTAAGATAATTTTAAAAGGTCAAAGAAAAAAAAACCTGACAGATGCCAGATGGTCTGGTGGAGTAAAAATGACTGAAGAGAGGGGATAGCTAGATGAAATTTCTGGGTGCATATTACTTGCTGGAGCTGAATGGAAAGAACACTTTGCCATAAAAGCAGCATTTTCCAGCTCTCATTAACCTGAACCTTAATCAAGTTCATCTTATTAACTAATTTTGTTCTGCCCTGAGTGTGCAGTATATTCATGTGGAGGCAAAACCTTGAACATTGGCAATACCAAAACACTAAGGTGGAACTCAGTCACGGAGTTCAACCTGTGTCCATTTAAAAATAAAATAGACTTTAGTTTTGAAACGTCATTTTGAAACAAAATAAAGCAAATTAATTTTGAAGACATCTTTACAATGTTTTGGATTTTTTGAAGTTTATCACTTTTGGTGACTAAACCAATTTCCTGAATTCAGAGCAAAGAGAGATCATTTCAGTCCAATCCAAAACCTGCCAGTTTTTAGAAAATAAACTATTCCTTGAGAAAAAAAATGCCCAGATCAGAACAAGGAAACAATGAAAAGGTTCCTTGTTGCTAAGCATGGATTTAGAGTCAGACACAGCTTTGGTAACCTGCAGGAATTATTAAACACTGAGATCTGTGTGCTATGTCAATATTTGGGTTGATATACCAGGGAGAGCTCAGGCAGTAAAGTGTTTTAAGTTTATTTATCCTGTTTCCAGCTTATTGTAAGGGTAAGTGAAATCTGCTCTGCTTCACCACATCCCTGATGAAATGAACACACCCTACCGAGTTCTGGTCGATGTGCTGAAGAGTAACAGTCACAGGCTCATCAAGGTTCTGAACTGATGCATTTTCAATGCTGGCACTCACAACATAAGTGTTCAGCCTCTCCGTCCTCAAACTGTCATCCTGCAGTGGGAAAACACACACATGCAAAAAAGAATCCAAGCTGCTCCCATTTTTTTAAGCTGTATTTCTCAGAATGGCAATCAGCTAAATTCCATGAGATGCCTGGTGTAATTCAGCTACTTGCTACCTCATTAGAAAATGTAGTTAGCTGCAATTCAGGGACAGTTTCCACATCAGCTGAAGCAGAACTGAGTTTCAGATGCATCAGCTGATTGAGAAAGCTGTATAATCATTTCAGTACATTTAAACATCCAGTTGTACATCATTAAGCTCATTAGACAGTAGACATAACTGTGAATGCATCTTCTGTGTGAAGAGCATTGCTCAGCACTCTGTATGCTCCATCATACCAAGGAAATGTCTCCCTTTAGATTATACTCACCCCTCCCCAAGTTAAGAAAGTATAACTACTAGACTAAGTCCTAAATGCTGCACATCAGTGCTGCTGTTATCTTAGTGGAGACAAATCTTGTCATTATTTTCATGACATTTGGCATATGCTGCACATGGTCCTTAAGCAAGAACTTTCTTTCAGAGGAAGGTTAGGGTATGTTCTTTTCCTGCAGAACAGAAGGATTGAAAAACATCAGCTACAGGAAATGAACAGAAAGTCTAAGATCTACAGACACCTCTCAGACTATCCTCATTACAGAGAAGGTTTTGCTGCCTGAGTACATTTTCCCTGCACATTTCTTAGGCCTCCATCAGTGTGATGCTAAATGTGTCCAGAACAGCTGACACTGTTAGGATCTTTTGTAGGCACTAAGAGCAGCTAAACCCATTCCTGCCACCTCAGGGTTTGTTAGGAGTCATAGTTACCACAAAGAGTGAAGTGGTGCCAAAAAACTTAAACTGGATCTTCAAATGCTTGTCTGGGTCAGAGTGCTCAATCCCTAAGAAGTTCTTCAGGGATTTTGGCAAAAACACTGAAGCCAAAGCATTTTTGAAAGGATTTTCTTGTACATTCATCTGCAGGAGAGAGATGACATGCTCAGAACTGATGTCCTCAGGTCAAATACACAACGGGACAAAAGAGCAGGATGACTGTTTGGCTCAGTCAGTGGTCCCTGAGGTGATACTTTGCTCTTACCTTGAGATCCACACCTCTGTCGTAGGAGGTAATACCAAAGGCCAATCCTCCAAACACGTTGGGATCTGGACGCAACACCAGCAGAGCCAAGGAAGTGGTTATGACAGACGTGTTTCTGTCTGTGTAAGTCACCTTATAGCCTATCTCCTCAGTTGTCTGCAGGATACTTTAACAACAGCAAGAGGAAGGAAAAAATACATCTCTTAAGATATTCTTCTGGCTTCATAGCATGCATCCAGGAAGGCTAAAACCCTCTGCTCTGATCTATGAGCACAAAGAGCAAGATTGGGTCCATTTTGGGGTAGATGGCATTTTGCCTGCACAGGGTCAGGTGATGGAAAGCAGTTGAGCTAGTATGTTTCAGTGAACTGAAAGTCTGGCAGGTGGAAGATACCTTCCAGGGGCCACACAAGGTGGTTCTGGGAAGACCTGAGATAAAATTCATACCCAGTCAAATACTGCACTTCATCTGGAAGGCAGTAACTTGTAAAACCTGATCATTTGATTATTTGAAATCATCTAACTGAACCCTCAGACAAAATACCAGAGCCAGAATAATTCTGTCTGCAAGGAACCTCTGGAATTCTGACCTCCAGCTCCCCAGCACCCCAGGCAGGGCATGCTTAGAAGGCAGGGAAGCTGCTCAGGGTTTGTCCAGTAAAGTTCTGATTGTCCCTGAGAATGGGCATTTATTATCAGTAAGGTTTTTTTCTAAGTAGGCAGAAGAGGCTGCAATCTAAAAGAAACAGCAAATTAGAGTTGTTTAACTCTCATGTTTTATTAATGTTTAGTTAAGAGTCAGAGAGAGTTCCATGTCTTGTTTGGCTCCCTAGAGGCTACTGAGCACTATGTGAGGAAGGGTAAAACTCTATTGAAAGTGAGCAAGACAGCTGGTCCTGGCAGACTAAAGGAAAACCTCCCAGTGCTTTGGTCTGGTGTTACCCTCATGCATCACCAGCCTCAGACACACCAGGGCTCCCATGGAATCCTTTCAGCCACAGCTGCCCTAGAGCTGCAAAGTCTGGAGTTCAGCTTCCCCAAAATACCAACTCAATCTCCATCAGGGATCAAGAATATCATCCCTGTCCCTAAAACCTTACATTTCATCGGAGGAGAATTCAAAGCAAATGGATATTTCCCTTAAAAAACCCCACAGCCTATGTGAGAAGGCAGAGGTGGTGAGTGCTGGCAGCTATCACAGCCCCCACTCCACACACTGCAGCACAGTAGGCTTTGAAGAGAGACCACACAGCACAAAGCATCACGATGTTACCCAGTGCTTTCTCTCTGACAGAGCTTCTAAGCTATTTTTGGCTACTCCTTGTGGACTCCTGAGTTTGGAGAGGCAATGCTGTGTCAGCCAGTGCAAACAACTGGGCTGTGGCATAGTCATGATCCACCTAGAACTTCAGTGGAAAGTTCAGTTTTTCTTGCTTCTAGTATTTCTTATTACAATATTGGTTTACAGCAAGTGGAACAGAAAATTGCAGATAGGCCCAGTCTGTAAAATGAGAGATGCTGAAAGACATTTTAATGTGGTGAACAGAGCATCTCTTACACGGGTGGGTAGTGTTGGTCAACGCAAAGGAGAATACACTTTCCTGTTTGAAGCCTGATAAGTGGGTGAACTGTCCTGCTCAAATCAGAAATGGGTAAACTCTGTGACATTGCATTGCTCTTGTCAAGGCCAGCAGCAGTGTTCTGGACGGTGCTCTGCTCAGCAGCAAAAGCCATTCAAAAAAATGAGTTACCTTTAAGACTTCAGAGGAGAGAGGTGTTTTTAAAGCTCTCTAGCAACCTCAGTTGTGGCATGTGTGGGAAATACATAATGGGTGTAGGATCCTAAATGCAGATTTTAAAGTCTAACATTGAATAATTGTGTTTGAAAAGTCTTTACCAGCACAGGTCTAGCATTCCAGCATGGTGTGCAGGTGGAAGAGACCTCCCTGCTGAGCCACACAGATCACCCCTGAGAGGAGTTGGCAGCTGGGCAGTCCCTGAGCTGCCTGCAGGCAGGTGACTTCTGCAGAACTCGTTCTGGTAAAAGCACCTTTGACAACACTAACCACTTTCTGGTGCTAAGAACCACAAACACGTTTAAGATCCAAGTACAGAAATTGCTAAGTCCTGTGGTGATATTTTAACAGACTGAACGAATTACTCCACGGTGCCATTTTAGCTTAGGAAACCTCTTCTGGGCAAGTTATCTTACTTACCTGTTGGTTATTTTTCTAATGTTCTGATCCTCTATTTCCTGCAGCAAAATGTAGTCTAGTATAGACATTACAGTCTCTGCAAGTGTCACGCTCACATCCGCGAGCCGCACGATATCAGAAATTTTACTTGCAATGATTTCTAGTTCTTCCACATGCAGTGTTGCATCTGGCAAGAGGTATAGAATGTGCTGTACAACATCTTGTGCATTCTCTGGGAAAAAAGGGAGCACAGATGATTTATGTGGCATTGCTATCTCTCTGCCTGTATCATAGAATCATAGAATTTAAGGGTTGGAATGGACCTTATAGATCATCTAGTCCCAACCCCCTGGCATGGGCAGGGACACCTCCCATCAGAGCAGGTTGCTCAAGGCTTTATCCAGCCTGGCCTTGAACACTGCCAGGGTTGGGGCAGCCACCACATCCCTGGGCAACCTGTGCCAGTGTCTCACATGTACAGCTACATGTCTCTGTGTTAAATCCAGGAGTTAGTCTGCTTCTCCTCTCTTTCCATATGGTCATACTGCTCCTAATCTAGTACAAAATTGTGTCCTGAGAATAAGTCAATGAGCCCTCAACATGTCAATGAAACTGGTAAAAGCTCCAAAGTAAAATCTGCATACCTCAGACTGTATTTTAAAGGAAGAAAATAATGTACTTTTCATAAGAATATTATCACCTGCTTTGGGATTTATAAATACTGTAAATAATATTTAGTTTTGACTTTGGTCATGTTTACAAGTTCAGAATTACACAATATTCACCTCTCTCCCTAAACACTGCTTATCTGGTACATCAGCAAAGCAAATTCTGAATGGTATCATTTGAAAAGTTGTATTTGCCATTCAGCATCTCATCATCCTTCTCCAATTTGTTACAGAAGCAGAGTTTTACACCCAGGGAGTCACAGATCATATGTGACTGCAGATATCTCTCAGTGATCTATTATCTGATGCACTGCTGAGGAGGTGGATAAGCTGTGGTATTGGGTTTGTTCACCATTCAAACAGCTTGCACTGTTTAGCATAGCTTAAAAAGATGTAACCAGGTGCTCAAAGTCACCTCATCACTTACATGAATTACAGCACCAACTTTTCAATTCCAGACACTGAGTTGTGCTTCTTCGTATGGGATATTATGAACTATTTTCATGGGGTAAGAGAGAGAGCATAAACAGGCAAAACCTGCCACATAATTCTTTGGTTATCTACTTAGTTCTACATCTAAGTGTAAGATTTCAGACAAATCTTCAAAGTGATAGCTAGAGAATTTTGAAGCACCTGCAAAATTCATTGACATTAAAACCCCTTTAAGATGATGAGCAGGATGCAGATAAAACCACCTTACCACTTCCATTCTTCACGTGTTTAACATAAGCATTATCTGAGTACACCTATTTTTACTCTGATTCCCTGTGTCGCTGAAGCATTTGGTGCCTTACCTTCTGTTATATTGATGTCTTGGAGGCCTAAAATATTATTTGGAAGTTTTTCCAGTAATTTACATTTAGTCATGTTTGGTTTCTTCCAAAAAGCTTGCTCAAGTTCAATACTAATTTCACTGAAAAATGAAAACAATTAAATTGTTACATGAAAAAATACATAATCATGATGTTCCTCATATTTCCCACTCAGGTAGCTAAGAATGTAATTGATAAGCCCAACTTTCAATGGACTTGCAGGTCAGATCTGACTGGGCACTCACTGAGCAGAGTAGGGGCAGAGCCCAAATGCCATTTGAAATACACCTAGAGGTATTGGAGGACAGGGAGCCATGAAGGGATGGCACAAAATGCTACAGTGCATGTGTTCTCCTCCCTGCTCAAGCAGAAAGTCAGGTCCCTGCAGTGCTGGCTGGTCCTCACTGCAGGTGATGGGAGTGATGCCACACTCCCTTTTCCTGCATCCTGTGTTGGACTGGCCCTGTATACTTTGCATGTCCCTTGGCATGGCACTGCTGCATGCCATGGCAGACTGCCATCTGGTTTCCCATCACACAAAGCCTGCTGCTCCCTCCTGTCTTCCATGGAAGAACCAAAACAAGGTGATCTCCTCACTCACCAGCTCCTCTGGGCAGACTGCAGAGGGTTTTTCCTGCAGCTGACCTCTGCTTTGGAGGCTGGACTTGTTAGTGGCCAGGAATAATTCCCCTTGCATGTTGTGTGTGAAAAGCTTTCTGGACAATCCATTAGTGCTGAGGAGGAAATAGAAGCTCTTTAAAAAGATTGAATATTCCAGAGGAAGATCCCCCTGATGTGGACCCAGCTGCTCTGTGGGCCTTATCTCCTGATGGGAACGAGCTGTAATTTGCAGACTGGACAGGAATATTTTACAAGTTTACTGCCTGCAAGAAAACATTTTGTTTAAATATTTCATCTCTTCTTCTACAATATTTCCCTCTTTTGTTGGACAAGGTCAGTTAGTTTGCAGCATCACAGACCACATTCAAAGTCAGCACATCCTGGAAGCTTCTCTAATCTATCCAAAGGTGCTGTCACACTGCCCCTTATTATCCCATCGATGTCTTTCCCTCAGGCTTGTAGTTTTATCATCTGCAACTGATATTTTGTCAGTCATTGATATAAAATGGGGGTTAAAATTTCAGGTATGATCTGTTAGCTCTTATCTCTGGGTTACTTCTGTGTTACAAGGACCAACAGAGATGGTAATCAAACAAACAAAGATATTATTTGCCATCTGAGGCTTGGTCCAATATGCACAGGCATTAAGCAAATGTTGGCCATGGGTTTGGTTTGGGTGTTTGGCTCCAGTATCCTTCAGAATTCAGGCTCTGAGGCACTGGCTACCAGCAGAGGTTCCTGGATTTGTAGCTGCATGAGCCTGACCTTGTCTTCATTGAAAAGGTGCTCAAACCTGCCTGGGCACAAGGATTCAAGTTGTAACTTAAGTCCATCTGACTGAAACCCAAGTTCTTGATCCTCCTGTCATTGCATGATGTTCTTCTACAGCTTGTACATCAGATTAGGTCATTCTGGCTACTTGTAAGGGTGTTTTCTAGCCTCACCTCTCCATAACATTTAAATTGGATAAAACACTTGTAGCCAGAATTACAAAGCATGTGATTTTCATGAGGTTTCAATGAAGTATTACCTATTGACCTCACAGTCACATCTTCAGGTTTCACATCCAAGGACAATGGTCCCTCTATGTAAGTGTCATTCAACAACTGTTTGATCCTGAGGCTCAGCATTTCCTGCATTTCCAGGGATGTGGCCTTTATGATGGCCTTACAGACATAGCTGCAAACACAACACACAGACAAGGCTGCCATGTTAGTAACATTTCACAAACACAAGTGGCTACAAAATTAAGGAGTAACCCAGGAAATTATACATTGAATTGGGTAATTTATGTATGTACTTTGTCCATCACAAGTGCAGTCCTATGGTGAATGCCACTGAATGCCACTTCTAATGTACACTTATCACTGGAAATGCTTTCAGGAGTTGAAATTGTTGGGAATACAGATGCAAGAATCTTTCTATAGTTTCATGCAAATACCTCTAAAGGTTGCCTAATCATATTTTCTTGGCAAAAAAAAAAAATATCTGTGACAAATAAGCATTTTTCAATAACGTTTAAAGTTTGGAGTGAGCTAGTCATAAAACAATGAGGTGCTTGAGCACTCCTGTGTCCACACAGAGCTGGAAGACTCCACAGCTCCCTGGAAAACTGAGATTTAACTAAACACTTTTGGTATCTCTGGTGGATTTCAGCTTTTTCTCCTCAGAACAGCTGTTCTTCTGGATAACTGAGTTTGCTGACTCTAGAAGGTCTGGAAAGACTGAACTCTTTGAGTGGCTTCAGACACAGCAGAAAGATGCATGAAGCCATGGGTGGATCACCTCAATGGACCTCTCTAATTTAACTGAGGGCTAATGAGTGAGATTTCCTTAGGGCTGGGATGTTCAAGTGTTTCCAATTCACTCCTGCCTCCACACAGTTGTTCCCCTGCTCCAAATGGCTTTTATAAACCATTTCCAACCCCTTAAGGTGATGGGAACCAGCTCCCCTTCCTCCAGGCCTGAGGTCAGAGGGCACTTAGAATTTTCTGCAGAGGAGGTGCAGGATTCATCCTGGCAACCTTTCTGGGCACTGTCCATGCACTGTTCTGGCCCCAGTGAAGGACACTGCTCACAGCCAACTCTTACAGTGCAGCACAGACCTCCCAGCTTGCCATAGAAGCACTTGCAGCTGATGAAGATACAGGGTATGAGAGGGACACTTTGGATGCACAAATATATTTCCCCAAGTCAAGCATTACTGTGGTTCTGACCTCCACGTGGTCTTTTCTGGTCACTGTGAAACTAAAACAGCCATGAAGGGGTAAAATTCCTCCTCACCCTGAAAATGAAATCAGTATGAGCTATGGAAACCCAGTTCATAACCATGGCTCTTACCTTTGTGACATCCTCTTCGCCTTCCCCTTCGGTTTGCATAGAAGGACACAGAAAGTTAGAAGCTGGTTAGAATCAACAGGCATAAATTGGATTTTAAGGAAAGCAAACAGCAGAAACTCAGTGTGATCATTATAATAGTCTGTTGCTGTAAATGCTACTGGTACCTGACTCCTTAGAGCAACCTTTGTTTCACAGCTCTGCTAGAACCATTGGGATAATTTAATAATTTCAACAAAACACAAGAGTATCAGCACTTAGACCCTGCAACTATTACATCCTCTATGTAGAGGTAAGAAAAAGTAAGTCTTTAAATCAGAAAATAACAAATTACATACAGGAGTCCTCTTATAGGCTCTGCCCTGTGGATAATTACCCCTGCAAGCAAAGAGAATAGAACAATTATTTCACAGAAGCATAGAAGTATAACATGCTCCATTGTGCTATCACCTAGTGACCACAATGAGTCAGACCTTGCAGCAGAAAAGTCATCTTGAATTCAGCATAGGTATATCTGCAGAAATCACCAAGACCAAGTGCTGTAACAGATATGCACCCTGACAAAATGTTTCTCCCAGAATGGGACCAACCCTTCCCTTGGAGTTTTCTGTGAACAGTGCATTGTGTGCGTTGTCATTTGCAGAGCAAGTAGTAACTGTGGAAGCCAGAGAAGAAAACAGGAAGTCCAAACAGGCATAAAATGACAAAACTCTGTGTCTGTACAAGTGATACTTTTACGACTTGCTAAATATCCCTCTCAGCTGCTCCCAGTTTGGATATGAATACAGCTGGATTGGGTATGAAATAGGGGAGTCTTGTGCAACAAACCATTGTTTCTGGGCAGAGTTTTGGAACTCTAAAATGCTTTCATTAGACACTGCCATGCAAGAGCCACTGTGAGCCCTCAGGGGTCTGTGACCCTCACTCTGTGGATGGATGTGACCCCCAAACTCCTTTGCACTCTCATGCAACCACTGAAATGAAGCTTCAGCAGCACTAATGTGAGTGAACTCTGCAGGTACCAGCACTTTGCCCTACTTTCCATCTCCTGCAAGTACAGATTTCTGTACATTTTGAACAGCCAGAATGGTGCTGACACACTGCAGAGGCAGCAAATGTTTTGTCTTTGTCATGAACCAATATATGTGGGCAAAGAGAAGCACTTGGTCCGGAGCAGCTACTTGCCTTGCCTTAGTCAGGATACATATTTTCAGGTGAATGACCCCAATAAACAAGGTGTGGGTGCTCCATATGGTGAAAGTTGTGCAGTCCTGGGGGTTTAGTTTGCACTCTTGTCACAGACTGATCAGTTGTGAAATGGGTATTTGGAACCTGGTTGCAATTTTGCTCAAAGGAGTATGGCTCAAGGTGACACCACTACACAGCCAGAGCCTTACCTGATTTTAAAGTTTGTCACAATGAATTCTTCTCCAGTAAATATGATACTAAACTGGAAAGAAAACAATAACATTTTTATTAACTTGATTTGCCAATACTTTTCCTAGACTTGCTTTAGAACAGTAAATTTAGAATTGTCATCAAAATTCTAAATCATGATGAAAATGGCTAAGAATATTTGCAAAATTTTAACACTTTTCCCTTCCTTCAAAATTTCATTTAGTGCTGTTAAAAATGTGTTGGATAACATGATCCTGACACACCACAACATTGTTACTTGGCTGCTCATTTCTGTGTTGTCCCATCAGTTTGCGTTTCATACACTGGGGGTTGGACTAGGTGAACTTTAAAGGTCTCTTCCAGCCCAAACTATTCTGATTCTACCAGGTGTCCTCCTCATCTGATACCTGCTAGAAACACATGCAAACGAGAAAAGCAAACTACTCACCCAGTGTTCAAGAAGCTTTTTTGCATCATAGTAATCAGGAGCTCTCTCGGTTTTGTAGAAAAGGGAAAAGTTCATGTGAACGTTAAAGAAGCTCACTGTAAGGAGAGAACATAGGTGAGATGCACCCTGTAGTTTGCACAGAAGGTGTCTGCACCCCGTCCCACTGAACCCCTCCACTGAACCATGGTTGTGTTCCCATTCCCATGGTCATCAAGGCTCTTTGGGAAATCCCAGACTCCAAATGTCCAAGTCTAGATTACTGCTGCATTGCTAAAACTTTTATTCAATCACTTAAGGGCCCAAGCACATGGTCACATTATCAACCAAGTTGTGGTTCATACCTGTGAGTGCACTACCTTAGCTTTTACTGCCTGCTGAGAACACACAAGCAGAAAAACAGGAGGATCTGCTGACATGGCACACTTTGCTAAGCAGAAATGGCTTAAACATGTCTGAGTCTTAAATTGTCCCATCTAAGGTGTCAGTCAGTATCAGTGATGACCACGTCAGCAATTGAAACAGCCTCACTGAGCACTTACCTGGAATGGTACCATTGGTGCTACTGGTTGGAGGTAATGGGGACAGTGTAGGAGCCTTTGTTAGTGATGCCTCACTCGACCCTGATAAGAGGAACAATAAAAGGCCTAAGAATCCACGGGGGTAAAAAGTGCAAGGAAGAGAATAGTCCAGGTGAGAGAGGGGTTTGTGTCCTTCAGTGAAGATCATCATAACAAGGACCTGCTGCTGTTCCACAGACCTCAGCAGGGTGAAGGCAAACAGGGAAATACACCTGCACAGTTGGTTTTTTTGCTTTCTCCAGAGCATAACAAGGGAGAAATCAGGATTTGCAGAGTTTAGATCACAGGGAAGACCAAACTTCTAGCAACATTATATTTTTCTATTGCTTGCATTGAAGAGAAGTTACCTGTGTTCCCTTCTTGCCCATGTAAGCTGTGCCAGCCTTCAGGAAAAGGCATTTGTCACACACTGAGTGCTAACCAGTTAACATGCAGTAATGCGTGGGAGAGGAACATTGATATTCATGGTCTCTGGGTTAATGATAACCTGGCACAGGGATTCCATTATAAATGCTGGCCATCCTGCCTGCTGTTTTCAAAGTAAAGAATTCCAAGAATTCACTCGTAGCTAATTTTCCTTGAAGTGAATCACCTTGTCAAACCAGATAACACTTTTACACTTCACATGCAGTCTGCCACATCATCAGGCAGACAGGGACAAAATGGGTGATGTTTGTCACATGTACTACAGAAAATTGCAGTGAACTGAATCACCACATAACATTACATGTCTTGATGCTGAAAAAAAAGCAGGATCACAACATTTTGCCCTAGAAGTACCATTTCCTTGCTAAGCTGGTAATTTGTGGGTTTTTCTTCACTCGTATGACTGTCAGAGACTTGACATTCTAGCTCTGACTAAGAGAAATAAACTTAATGTATGAATACAAAGCCAAATGTCTATGAATAAGGAGTGTGGTCAGAAATAAGCAAGATAATACCATGCTTCATAAAACATTGTTTTCTCTACTGTAGTTCAAGGTAAGGAGACTCACCCATGCTTAAAATATAACAGCCCATCTCTGACTCACTCAAATCAATGGCAATACACCCATGGACAGCTACAGAAACGGGGGCTGTTAACATCTTGAAGTCTACTATTTTTATCCTAAATGGCTTCAAATTATCTAGAGAAGTTCAAAGGACAGCTGAAGTCAAAAATCTCCTTCTGAGCAGGCATGCTACAGTACACAAGCTTCTGCTTCCTGGACACAAATTGATTTTCCCCCTTGCACTAAGCCACAGGCTGTGAAGTCAGCACAGAGTCAACCCAGAGCAGGAGGACAATAAAGCAACTGGAAGCCCAGGTCTGAGTTGTCTCTCCAAGGCTGGGTCTTGCAGACTGAGCTCAGACCCTTCAGTCTTCAGCTCAGACCTTCATGCTCCTCAGAGGTGCCAGTCTGTGTTTTGGAGTCACCTCACTATCTAGGAAATGGTGGTTTCAGCCTCTGTAGTATCCTCAGCAGAGGCAGCACACTCAGGGCTGGTGGAGAGCTGAGCCAGGAGGCCCCAACACACCTGGAGGCAGTGGGATGGGGAGCAGGAAAGATGCATCAGCTGTTCCAAAATTCAAACTGTCCAGCAACCTGCTTTGGCAGAGTGCTCCTTGTAGCAGTCTCTGCTGCTCCCAGGGTGTAAAGAAAGCTGTAAAATAATAGCCAGCCTGCTTTTCTCATGCTTGATGAATCTTAGATTTGCATTGGACATCTTTCCTCTTTACTTGAGCCTTTTGTGTCTGAGATAGTAGTAAACTTTGGAAATCAGAGAACTAACCTGCTTTACTCTCCACCAAAACACTAGCGAGTGCAGGAGAAAGCTGCCACATTGCCATTTCAAATCCATTGCCTGCAGTAGGTCAGAAACATGAGCTGACATAGTGGCTATCTGCTGATTCTTTATTTGGAAAAACATCCAAGGGCTAAGCTCATCGAGCTGCAAGACAGACCCACATGTTCCATACACAGAGCTCCTACCAGCACTAACACGGTTTGACAGACACATGAATACACAGAAAACAAGGAGCCAGAAGTATCTGCTAAATTCAAAGCCCTAGAGACGAAGGAAACTCCTCTAAAGAAAACAGAAGGACCTGGAACTAAGGGCATGTGCTTTCTCCTCCAGCACCTGTGCATAGCAAATACCACCCTGAGAATAGAAAGAGCAAAACCCACAGACCTGCCCCCAGTGCTGCAGATATTCCAGCATCCCCAGGGACTTTATTCCCACAGCTTAAACTTTTAGTGGAAACCTGTATGCCTTCCCATGGAGTGAAGCTGCAGAGATGGTTCTGTGAGCCCCAGCGTGATGCTACATATAATGAGTTCCTGGTTTCAAACTGACAGAAAATGAGTGTCTTGTTATGAGCTTTTTTTAAGCACCACTGCCACAGAAGTGTGATGAGAACTCAGAAGGGCCAATGCTGTGCAGACATGCCATAGCACTGTAATAAATATTTTTTTTCTTTCCTTACAAAAATATAGACAATATTAGGCTATGATTTATCAAGCCACATCCCAAACTGTTTGGATGCCTGGGGTTTAACTTATCCCCCTGACTGTTCCAGTGCTGCAGATCCTCCCCCGGTAGGAGGAATCTGCATAGAGCTGGGTGATTAGAGTCGCCTGTTCCTGTTGTTATCAGTGTAATGTTGTAAAAACCATTGCCTCAGGGGTGATGATGTCACCCAGTGTCAGGCAGGATGAAACAGAAAAATCTGCTAGGAAAAAAAGCAACAGAGAAATGGCCAAACAAAGCCCAAACCCATTCTGATCAGAGATGTAACTCGGAATGCTGTTTCCATCTCCTGACAAATGAAACCTAATTACAACTACACAGATTCTAATTTATTTCTTTCTCCTTCTCATTATCACCTGAAGAAAAAAAAAAAAAGCTGTTTATTCTCACATGTCGGGGATCATTACCAGCAGGCAGGTGTGGGACTGGCCACCTGCATCCTGTACCTTCATTTGCTTTAATTAGCATGTATGTAATTCTGCTCACGAAACAAGGGCTAAGGCATGATGACAGATGAGATCTGAAGCTAGAAAAATACTGTACCACTGAGTCTTTTAAGTCCTACTCATGGATTTTGATTTGATAAGATAATACATGGTTTATTTGGCATCTTGTAAATATGTATGGTTTCCAGTAGACCTGCAATAAAAATTAGACTAACCAATGAGAACTGCAATAAATATATTTCTATATTATTAGCAGACATTGCAGATATTGAATATTCATCCCTCTCCCAGATTATTTAAAATTAAGAAGAAAATCAGAAAGCAGTGTGTGGGTGAGGTAGGGGGAGGCAGAGAAGAAGTCTGAGTCAGTGAGAGGATGAGAAAACACACTTTTACTTCTAGACTTTTAGCAAAGGATCATCTTCAAGATCTCTGGGGAAAAAAAAGCAAAGGCAGAACAATAACTTAACTCCTGTCATCAAGCAAAGCCAGTGCAATTGCTATGATAATTATAGCACTTACAAAGCTAACACACCTTTTGAAGGCCTCCTCTGGCTATGTTCATGAGATGTTTCCCTCCCTTTGCCTAAATGAGCCCTGGCTTTCCAAAGGAGATGTAGGATTTCCAAGACAAAACAGACTGCCCAGCTTGCCAGCACAATTGCATCAACTGTTCACTGTCAAGGTGAACCAAGTATTGCAACGTAAAACATCTATAAACAGCACATATAAACACAAGAGGCAAACCTTGCAGCTGGCAACTGTTAGAGGGCATAAGTACCAATTGGAGAGGTGATATTAGCATTGACATGGCACTTCCATGGGACATTTCATTGCATAGCAACACTTTGGTACAATTACTTCTTACATGCATGCTCCAGATTTTCTCACATAGGCTCAATATATATGATCCCATATGGACAATCCACATAAACTACAGCCAGGTGCAGCTTCCCCTGCCTGACAGATGGGACATAAATCTTGGTATGTGTTTACAGTGCTCACTGTTATCCCTACCTCGTGTACCATCAGTCTGCCTGTGCTACAGCTAGCTCATGAATTCCAGTTAATTAAAGTAAGGAGTGGATTTATAGTGGAAGTAAAGGTCTTGCCAAGATCTGAGAAATGACAGATTCTCAAACATGATTAAATTTTAACATCTCTATAAATTCACAACAATCATCTTAGTTACTGCTCTCAGGAGCATGTCAGACTCCAGTAACCTTCCTCCCAGTGTGGATCACAAAGTGGATCCAGCAGTTCATGACACCAGAGGCAAGAGTAGCTTCAGGGTAGGTCATCACTTGTGAGACATGCTGCTGTTTGTCCTTGCTGATAACCTTCAAATAGTTAGACCAACATTTTACAGACGGAATGTTCGATTCAGGCTCCACTGGAGAATCCTAACTAGATGACATCACCTGGTTCTTCGGGACTGCTATAGAGGGAAAGATGCTTTGACCACTGAAAGCCTCTCTCTAACATGCTTTGTCTCACTAAAAACATGCACAAATTCATCCAGGTTACTTTTTTTTTGAAAAATCAAAGCCCAGGAACACTGAGTGGAGTGTTTGATCTTGGGTGTTAAACTTTTCATCATCAAACGTGACTAAGCTTCTCAGGACTCCTTGCCAAGCCAAGCACACACCTTTCCCACAGAGTGAATTGCCCCAAGGGCAAAGGTGTTAATTGGAAAAGGGAAACTGAGCCTTCCGCCTCCCTCCTCACCAGATCATGCCCCACCAGCACAAGTGGGGAAATAGCTCCAGGACAGGCAGAGCAGAAGAAGTACCTGGATAAAGGCAGTGGATCAGGGAGTCAAGGGACAGATGGGAGGGCTGTAATTTACAGCAGTTGTTCTTAGTGCCTGTGTCCTTTGGTGCAGAGTGAGGGAAGGTGCAAAGGGAGCGGTGGGGAATCTCTCTGAGCACAGGTTTCATTGGCTGTCAGTGATTTCCTGATAACCTCATTACCTTGGGTCCTGGTTCGATGATGTTCCTGTAAGGAGAGGCTGAGGGAGCTGGGGGTGTTCAGCCTGGAGAAGAGGAGGCTCAGGGGAGATCTTATCACCCTCTACCACTCCCTGACAGGAGGTTGGAGTCAGGTGGGGGTTGGTCTCTTCTCCCAGGCAACCAGCAGGAGGACAAGAGGGCACAGACTCAAGCTCTGCCAGGGGAGGTTTAGGTTGAATATTGATTTTTTACAGAGAGAGTGATCAGACATTGGAATGTGCTGCCCAGGGAGGTGGTGGTTTCACTGTCTCTGGAGGTTTTCAAGCTGAGACTGGATGTGGCATTTAGTGCCATGGTCTAGCAACCCGATAGGGTTGGACTTGATGATCTTGGAGGTCTTTTCCAACCCTGTTGATTCTATGATTCTATGAAACCTAGAGCAGGAGATGGGCAAGTGCAGTGGGAACTGTGGTGAATTGCTGCACACAATGGACATTTGCTGTCTGACCACCAAAGTATCAAATCCCTACTCTGTGTGTGATCCCCAGCAACACACAAGCCTCGAGATGAGAAAGCATTGCAGAGCCTCACCACAGCGTGGACAATGGCCCGCGACGGGCAGGACATTGCTGAAATTCCAGTACTCTTCCCTCCAGCTGACTGTACTGCCCATGGCACAGTCCAGCAGCTCCTCCTGAGCCAGCACACGGTCCCACATTTGGAAGTAGTACAAGCTGCCAATGAAGCTGTGGCTGACCCTCACGATGAAGCCATGCCTTCTCTTGTGCAGGTGGCCCAGCACTAAGCTGCCGTTGGGCTTCAGGCACTCTGTGCTGCGGATGCTTTCACTGTGCACGAGGTTACCATTGCAGTAGACCTCCAGCAGCTGTTTCCTGGTGTCCCACAAGCAGCACACGCTATACCACACAAAAAGGGCCAGATTGACCTTGATGTCTCGTCTGGTGCCAAAAAGATACAGTCTCAAGTGCTTGTCTTCTCCAGAGAGTCCAAGATCTAAGTCATTTATGTCAGTGGAGGTGTTGTTAGCATCATAGGAAAACGCTGCCCAGGAGCTGATGTTGGCAGTTCGCTTTAGGTCAATGCACACTGTGAACTGACATAGCTGAGGGATGCTGAAGTTGACCAGGGACACATACTTATCATTCCTTCCCAGTAAATCCAGTCGCTTTCCATGCAGATAACGTGTTTCTGTAAGCAAACGGCATTGGGAAAGAGAGTAAAGAAGGGAAATAAAGTGTCGCTCCCAAAGAAAAAGCTGCCATATGGCCTCAATTGGGTTCTTCCCTGAAAGATAATTACAGAAATTAAAAGCTTCTTCTATTTCTAGTTTCTGCTGCCTTTGAAATTTAATTGAGACCACCCACACTACCAATAAAGAGAAGATGAGTTTAATTCTTCATAGGAAAAGTTGAAGTCCTCAAGACATACCAAACAGGAATCAATGCAGAACTCAGGTCCATATGATCCAGTATCAATTTGGGTGTCTGTGCTAAGGTCTTGGCTCAGCAGGCAAAGAGCTATTTGCAGGTTTGGCTCCCAGATGATGTATCACACCTGCAACCCTTAGCCAAGATTTCTTAGGTCAAGATTTCTGCTAAAAATAAAAAACATAAGGACTATCCTTTTGTCAGGCTCTGCAGAATTGGTTTGGGCATCTTCTTCCTTCATTACTTTAATTGTTCTCATTTTATCTTTACAACCTACTCAAAAGGTTTTGCTGACAGAGGCAACCTCCCTGAGCAATACTAGTCACAGACCTACACGGGTGCTGAGTGTCTTGCCCACATGTGGCCACAGCTCTGACTGCACAGCAGCAGAGTAGTAGCTGCAATGGCTCTAGCTCAGCCAATTTCAGCCCCTGGAGCAGTTTGCCAGGGTCACCAGCAAGTTATGGAGGGTCTTTCACTGCTTATCTGGGGTTTGTGCTGCACATTAATGTCTTTTGTATATCTGGACAGGAGGCAGCACAGTGCAATGATAGGTCACATCTCCATTCCAGCTCCTGGGTTTGCCATGGTGTCCTCCCCAGCGAGTCCCATTGCAGTCACCACCAGCCATGGCAAGGTCCCTTCCCCAGACATGAGTCTCTCTGAACCTGCACAAAGCCACAGAGCAGCACATTTGGACAGCAGCACACAGTCACCAAAGGCAGGAGCCAATCTTTCCACCAGCTCCATCTGCCACCAGCAAGGTGTTTGTCTCAGGGGTGAGGTGGCCTCACATGCACCATCAGGGTTTCCACCAATCAGACTCAAAGTGTAGCCCAAACCCCTCCTGTACAGGTGATCTTTACCTTGCCATTATGCTCACATGTTTATATGTGCTTCACTAATTCAGATAAGAATTACAATTATGTTGAAGGTTTTTATAAGCATTTTCTTCAAACGAATTTAATTTTTTCCAAATGTGACTGCCAGCCACATAAATCAGGTACTACAAATCCCCCAAGTCTAACCTGACCAATAAATCTCCAGTGAGTATTTGCACTTCTCATTAAGGTTATACACATCATGAACTGCAAGAGTAGTTGGCGCTTCTTCCCGTTTGCCTCACACACTCCAAACTGAAATCAAGTAGGGAATGATCCATCTGCAGAGTCTAATCCTCCGTAGGTGATCAGTGCATTGCTGTCCTAGCATAACCTTGTGCTCTCAAAGCATAAAGAGAACATTTCTATTACACATAACAACACTCTGCTATCTTTCATGTCTGTCCCAGCTTTAAAATCAGCTCCACTGAGCACCTCAGGGTGTTCTGGAGCACCCACACCCTGCTCTAACTTCCACTGCTGGCGCTCTGCTGAGATGGTGGTTTGCACCCAAGGTGATTATTTTCCCCTTGAATGGGAGTACACAGGACTCAGGACAGCAGTGTGTAACCTTTGCTTGGTGCAGGCCCCTGGGATGGGAGTGCAGTACCTCTCCACTAACACATCAGCCTCTTTGTTAGAAGGAACAAGCCCTTGGACACGAATCATAGAATGACAGAATGGTTTGGGTTGGAAGAGACCTTAAAGATCATCTTATTCCAACCCCTGTGCCGTGGGCAGGGACACACTCCCCCAGACCAGGTTGCTCCAAGCCCCGTCCAACCTGGTCTTGAACATTTCCAGGATGGGGCCGCCACAGATTCTCTGGGCAACCTGTGCCAGTGCCTCAGCACACTCACAGTAAAGAAATTCTTCCTAATATCTAGTTTAACTCTATCCTCCTTCAGATTAAAACCTTATGAAATGACATGGCCAGTACTGGAACTTCAGGAGAAGATCTATGGTGGAGCTTCAGGAGATGCAGAGAGGTGGGTGCAGCTATTTCAATTACAGCTCAAACAGTGAGTAATTCATTGTAGTACAAGAAAATGCAACAGCCATCTTTAGCTATACTTTCCAGCAGCTGCTGGATCCAAAAGGATGATAAGCCATCTCCCATGGGTTTCCCCAAGAGCTAGAAATCCCTGAGAGATGTACAAATGGCAGGGCTGGCACCCATTCCACAAGTGACCACAGCATCATTGCACCCAGCAGACATATGCTGAGAAATCAACCTTTCAGGGGTAAAGCCTTCCAGTGCCTTATAGCAGATAGATTTTCCCTGCCAAAGCTGAGAGAAAGTGGGAGCATTTGGCCAGAGCTAGAGATTAATTCAGTCTTTTTATTATGGAGGCTTTCCTTGGATCGAGCTCAGTTTTTCCTCAACTGCTCTGTGTGCTGGAAGTGACCCCAGTGCTACAGGGTGCATTTTGGAAGCATGAATTATCTCTGTGCCCTCCATTGTTCTTGAGGAGAAGTCAAAGAAAGAAATATAAAACCCAGCATAGAAGTAATTATTGTTTTGCTGGGATTTACACTGGAGCAAAATGATGTTGAGTGTGCTCATGAGGCACAACTCACTGTGTTTGACTCGGGGCCTGAATTATTACTGCAGAATTTGGTTCTACCAGTAGATTTGTGCTTTTCCCAGGACACCATGGAGTAAATGCACAGCTCTTATTTTACAGTGACTAAAGTAAAACTAGAAAAGAAAACCATACAGAAATGCAGGAAGACACCCAGGAGGGAAACAAGTGAATAATGACAAAATCAAGAGGCTTTTCACCTCCAAACATTGGACAACAGCTGCAATGCAAGCAAAACCTGACATTTCACTCCCTGCTGTATTTTCTCATTTGTACTGACTCATCTGCAGCCCAGACTGAACCAGCATCCCAGGAAAGGGTGAGCATCATGTCCACACTTGTAGGCCTGCAGGGCAATGTGCTCAGGAATAGACAAGGACCCCAGTACCAGTTGCAGGGAGAAGTGGGAGGTCTGGAGCAAGAATTCCTGGGGCAGAACAAGAGGAAGATGGGCTTCTGTGTGGATACACTGTGTGTGCACAAACCAGGACACCACCAGTCTCTGGGCTGTGGACTGGCAGCACCATCCCTATGGTTAATCCTGAGGGTAATTACTGTACCTGCCAGAAGGAAGAGATGAGCAGCAACCATCAAGATGCAAAAAGCCTTGTCAGCAGAGTGCTGTCCAGGGCCACACAGGAACCTCTTCATTCTCTAGGCATGTTCTGAAAGACAGATGTTGGTGAGCACTCCTTTCCCACCCACTTGGCTGAGAAATTCAAACTGCTCCTGCAAGTTGCTGGAATGGCATTCATAGCAGAGGAGTCCAGGAGTCCTCACTCCCCGTGACCAAGCTGAGTCACTAGATCAGTCATCTCTGTAAAGGTCATAGCTACACAAACCCTCTGGTTTCTGCTGGTTTCTAAAAGAGATGAGGTTTACACAATTACATTGTGTGTGTTTTGTTCACCTGTCACAACTCTGCAAACCTGTTAGCAACTTTCAGCCTGGTTTGACAAAAGGAGCCCATGGAAGTGGTGAAGTTCCTAAAAAAGTGGGGAAAACAAGAACAAGCCCTACCAGTGCCTCTAATCTGGATGTGCTGACCCACAGTTATAGTCCACAGACTCTGGTGGGATGGTAGGCAGAGCAAGAGGCACATGGAGAAACAGGACACAAGGCTGCTCATGGACAGCACAGCCAAAAAAAAATTGTTCTCACCCCTGGGCTCTGTCTACAAACAACTTTTCATCAGTTTAATTAGGTCCTGGGAACATGGTGATAATTGGGGAAAGGCTATTTCCAGGGTATAAGCATACACTGAAGACTTACAGCAAAATCCAAATATGCCACTCCAGTTTAACTGGAAGGAGTTGATTCAATTTTGTGCTTCAGTCTGACTAAAGTTGCTTCCAAAATGACTACAGTTAAGCCAGAGCAATGGAGTGGACAGGCAGCCTCGATGCCCAAGAGCCCCAAACTCACTCTGTGTGGTGCTCTGCTTCCCTACTCACTTTACCAGGCATCAAAGGCTTATTCTTGGTTTAGGACCACACTGGATTAAATCTTCAGCTATTAAAGAGTTACATAAAATGGCTATGAGGGATGAACTAGATCCTCAGATGGTCTAAGCTGGTCAGGTTCACTCAGTGGAGTCAGCTGTCTGCACATCAGACACAGCCCCTGCCTGGGGCTCCCCAGGAAGGGTTAGGACACCCTGACCACTGCCAAAATGGAAATTGTGCCTTTGAGTCCAGACATATAAAATAAACATTAGAAAATTATGAAAGGCCCTGAGCTCATAACAACTCTCTCCATTTCCTTTAAAAACTGCACTTTGCAAAACTTACAAGGTTAGGAAATGTCATCCAGTTTTCCACTTACTGCTGTGACCACAAATCTCTTCTCCCACCCTTCTCCTTTATTACTCCAGCAATCATTTGCTGATTTTTGCAGTCACATTTAAGGAATAAAACATTATGCCCCCAGCCTGTGGTACCTAAATAGGATTTCTTACACATTTTCACACTTTCTTCTAAAAACAGCATAGTTATTTAAAGGTGCTGCTCAAAACTCACCTCACTGTGTAGCACAGAAATCAAGGCAGATTTTTTGCCAAGAGCTCCACACTGTTTCTTCTGTCAGATGCCGAAAGGCCAGTGAAGAGGATATGAAGAGAAAATCAGGTGGGACACTGCGGTGTTTTCAGCAGGTCAGGATATGAAGAGCAAGTTATTTATGTTCTGAAACCACATTTCTTCGGTCCTGGAAAATCTGCCCTGATAACAAATCTCTGCTCCCAACCTTCTTTATTACTCCAGCAATGATTTGTTGACTTTTGCAATAATATTTAA